TTCAGAAATCATTCTAATATGCTGATTTGCTGCTCAAGACACATTTCTTATTCAATATTGAAAACAGTTGCATTGCTTAATATTTTTATGGAAACTATAATTGGTTTTTTTCAGGATAGATTTTTCTATACTGTCACTTTTGATTAATTTAATGCATCTTTGCTGAATAAAATAAATCACTTCTTTATAAAAGAAAAGATGGTGTAACTTTTGTGACAACTTTTCGTGCATGACCGCTAACCCCTATATGTGGGCGTATGTGTACAGTATATCTGAAGGGTATAATGTCTTTGAGGCTGTTTGCATGACTTTGTGAGTATGTCCCACAGCATGATGATGCCAGATGCCCTGGCCATCAGATTGAGCTGGTAGCAGAGTAAGAGAAGAGCAGATAATCTACGCTGAGCTGTGACGGTATCCGCAAAATCACGCACGCCGCTTCTAGGCAGCCCTTACAGTCTCTTAACCTCCTGGCTGTGCTCTGTCTGGTTCAGAGCTCTGAGAGTTTAAAAATTGACATTGGTTCCTGCTGGATTTCAGGGGTAGACGTGGACCTGTGCCGAGTGAGAGAGAGAGAGAAAGAGAGGCAAGTTTAATTGCTCCATCTGCAAGAGGGCTGCAGAACTTGGCCCTGCCTGGGCAGATCCAGATGTTTTCCGGCAAGAAACATCTGAAAATGTTTAATTTCTTTCCCATAGGAGTGAAAAGTCTGTTACATGTTGGATATTTACAGTGGCAACTGCCCTGTTCCATCCATCAAGGCCGGCAGTCTCAGGTCTGCAGATTTACAGCTTTTATTTGATGTTCCGCTGCTGGAAGACCAAACACACAGCACTTGTGAACATGTAAACAGCACAGGAGTTCAACATTTTCTTAATGGATAAAAGCAATACTGTTGATTCAGACCACATTGTTTTTGGGTGTGGGGTACTGCCATTTTGGTGAGGCTCAGAAAGACTGACACTTGCAGGAGCTATTGAAGACTTTGAGCTGTAGTATTTTGAAGAACCCTGGAGGGTCTGATGCTGTGTTCACATCATGTCCGAATTACCGTAATTACAAGTTCCCATCTTGTAAAAACCGCTCGCATCTTCGTCAAACTTTTAATTACAACTTGGAAACTCTAAATTTTATGAACTTATGTGACCATCTTGATGTCATGTAAAAACAACCAAAATGTTGATAAATGCAGCATGAGTTTTAAGAACTCTTTCAAGTTCTGAGTACAAGAATGGTGAAAAGCCCTGAGTTATGATGTATTTAGAATATTAGAGCATTTTAATTTATATTTATTTCTATTTTAATTTTAATTTTTCTTATAGTTGTCAATTGTTTTAATTTTTTTATTGTTAGTTTTTCAGATTTTTCAATTTTCAATTTTAGTTTATATTTTATTTTAATTTAGTTATTTTAATGAAATAACTTAATTAAATAGTTAAGGTAATAACTAGCATCTAGTAATGTTTGAAGTTTTATAATTAGCAATGTTTACTATAGTATAATGATATACTAGTGGTACTTGTACAATTTTATTATATGTAATTATTTATAAAATTGTTAATTTTTATTGTTGTCTTGTTATATTATTTTTTATATTTTATAATGATATATTTTAAATATTTGATATATGGTGTAATGATATTCTAGTGGTATTTGCACATTTTTTTTAATTAAATATTTTTAATAGTTTATAAAAAGTAAAATAATTTCAGTTCTACGGTTTTTATTTTTATATTTAATTTTATAATTTTTAATTTAATTTAATTTTTTATAATATTTTTATAATTTATTTTATATTCTTTATATTAATTTGATATTTTATTCTTTATTATAATAGTTTATCATTTTTATTAATATTTGATATAACATTATTTTTATAGTGGTAAACAACAACAAATATATATAGTATTGGTTTTCCTCTGCAATTATAACTCATAACACACACCCATGTCTGTGTCCTGGAATTTTCCAGGTCTTTGCTCCAGCTGTTAGAATGTAGAACTTGGGTTAAGCTAGGTGAAGATTTGGTTCAGTTTTTAGCAGCTCCTAAATTACTGTATACAGGCCGTACTGATTTGGGTCCTTGTTTCCTGTCAGGTTTGACCCAGTTTGTTAGATTTGGCCCAGTTGGGCCAGACTGCATGCTGGTTCTACAGCACACTGTCATCAGTACGCTGTCATCATCAGAGACACATGGTGGGAAAGTGCTGCCATGGCATTTTATAATTTCTATATGCGGTTCACCACACCCTACTGAAGACAATCACTCTGATGTGTCGATCCAAGACATTTCTCCTGCCTTTGGTTGTCACATTTTTAAGACACTGATAAATGCAGTTCTCAGCAACTTGAGAAGTGTTACACTGGGTGGAAATACTGTTTCTGTACTGTTCCAAAACCTAGTGAACTGCCTACAGAAGCAGTATTGGTTCCAACTCAAAAGCTGTCCCAAAAGGTAGGCAACCTAATTATGCTGCCTCATAAGATACCTCATTTTAGCCAAGAATCATACCCATTCTGGAGCAAGCAGTCCCAGAATGCATTGCGACAAGCCCCAATATGATATTTTATCAAATATATTACCTTAATATAATTTTTAATACTGTGCATTTTGATATTGGGTTGCCTGAATTTTCTTGTAGCATTTAAAACAATTGATTTTAATGCTTTACTTTCAGTTTATTTAGACAAAATAATAAATTTTATTCTATCTATTTATTGGTTTCCATAATTCATCTTATCGATATAAGTGCATCCCTGCATGAAAACGTATAAAAAAAAAAATAGTCCAATGTAATTAAAATGAATAATCACACCCAGTATTTATGTACACTGTTTTATTCTAATTGATTATTAGAGAATCACCCTTTTAGCTTAGCAACCTGTTAACATCACATTTATCGAAATCAATAGCAAAATAACATTATGTTGACGAGATGGTACCAACAGGGTAGTTTTTGGTCATACCGTAACAGAAGGCAGTTGGATGATGTATCATAATCTGGCCAGAATCACCACAGCTGTGTGTGTATTCAGATTTAGAGAGATCAGTGTCTTTATTAGAGCTGTGTAAACTGAAGAGCCTATATTACTACCTTTCCCTCTTCTCTCGTACTTTCTCGCTCTTTCTTTCCCTGTTGTTGTGTGTTATGGCGCTGGGTTTGCACTGGGTTTGTTCCAGCTGTCATACATTGCCGCCAAAGGGTCAATAAGGTCATCTGTCCCAGTGAAACCCTGGAAGGCGGAGGCTTACAAAGGCTTATTCCAGTGATTCTGCTGTAATTCTAGGTTATTGACAGTGTATATTTTCATATATGCTGTGATATTTCCTATGTCTTCGTTATGAGCATACTGCTAGTAAAAATGTACCAATAAGTAATTCAGTTTTTTTTCCACTCCTTTTAATTTAAAAAAATATATTTATTTTTAATGAAATAATTAAAATATTATTTTATTAAATTAGTTAATTATTATTTATTATTATTATTATTATTATTAATTATATTATTTCTGTAATTAATTCCTATAATCCCACGGGGGAGTTTATCAAAAGTTAACAAATTTTTCACGTTTGCGTGTTATCATTGACGCTCAAGTAGGAACCTTTTTTGTTAAATATTAAGAGTATTTTTAATCTGCTTTGCCTTCTATTGACATCCGTTATGACCGTGATTGTGCATCTTTCGGCAAATTGACAGTTATGGCGCTTTTCCACTGCCTGGTACGACTCGGCTCGGCACGGCTCAGTACGGTACGGCACGGCTCGGTTCGGCTCGGTTTGCGTTTCCACTGCAGTTTAGTATCGCTTTAGAGTGGGCGGGATTATTCACATGTCGTTATAGTTGCGCCGCCTCTATTGCCGCGACTCCTAAAAAACGTTTTCATTCCGCATCGCCCCATCAAGCTCTCGCTGGATCCGCTCCTCTGCTATCAACGAGAGGAATGTCTGTACTTCCTCAACAGGGGGAACAGCCACGTTTTAGTTGTTAAAAAAAGGTGCGCTCGTTCAAAACAGTTGCGTGACTTGAGCTAAATGATGGCAACAACAAAACTTTTTGGTTGTTAAAAAAAAGGTGCGCTTGTTCAAAACAGTTGCGTTCGGTCCTTCGCTGGCTGTGCAGATTTAAATCTAGTGGTTCTTTTGTGTTTGTGTCGCAAGTTCAGTGACGCAAGTAGTGACGATTCTCTCCGACCAATCCGTGATCAGCAGAGTTTACACGTCACGTTTTGGTAACGGTACGGTTCGCTTGGAACTCCAACCGAGGTGGTACTAAAAAAAGTACCAGGTACCAGGTACTGTACCCAGTGGAAAACCCCCCAAAAGTGAACCGTACCGAGCCGTACCGTGCCGTACCATGCAGTGGAAAAGCGCCATTAGATTAAGTTAGTGGGCGGCACCTCAGTGACTGTGGCCACCGTTCTGAAAATCTATCTTCAGGAAATGATGAAGGCCTCTCCTTGCAGTGGGAGCCGTAACCCAGATACAGTATGTAATTTGCCCATATGTACGCGTCTGCGGCGCTCTATATTAAGGCCAAAAGTTCTTCTCATTATCAGAGTCCCTCATTACCTGTTTCTGTCATCTCATGCTCACAGGATTTGGATTTATACCTGATAATTACCTTCTATATAAAGCGAACCAGAAACGGCCCCAGCATATACACCTGAAGCATGCCCCAAAAATGCCTCGACCCAGCACTTGGAAAAATATCGCACGCGTCAAAACATAAATGATTTACCGTGTGTGAATGAAAAGGGTCACTGTTATGTACACTTAGCTGTTTTATTTAGGTCGAATAGGTGGTAAGTGATGCGCGTAATGTGTGCGTGTGAGTTCGAAATCTCTTTTTCTAGGCTGTTTTCCATATGGCCATCTTTAATGGACTCGTCATTGCTGCTAATGTATGCAAATTTCAACCTGGTTGCTAATGCAATTACTGTGCCTGCGGTTCCAAGCGCACGCAATTTAGTTATTGTGTTTTTTTCCCTCATTGTTTCAGATCGACGCCTTGAGTAAAAGAAGTAAAGAATCAGAGGCTGCTTTCCTCAGCGTGTACAAGAGATTAATCGATGTCCCAGGTATGTCTCGGCTCGCTCTGAGCTGGCTGCTCTCTCACACACACACACACACACTGCTGTAGTGTTTCACTGAGGCGAGAATACTGTAAACACATCAGTCATATTTATGAGACCTCTGTCTCTAGTGTCTAAAACACACACACATGCACGCGCACAGGCCGTCTTAATGACTTCTACGGCTTTAGAGACCCACTTCGTTCCAAACCCCACACGCGGAGGAACTTGAATTCTTATAAAATCCGCATTCATTGCCCCACAAACACCTTTTAATCTTCCGAATTGGCTTTTTAACGGTGAGATAATGGCCCCTGGATCCTCAGTTTTTATATGGTAATGTTCTGACGCGCTGATCTATAATAAGTTAATGGTGCCGCAAAGGTTCATGTGACATCTCGAAGCATCTTTAGCTCGGCCGCTCGATAGAGTTGTGCTTTAGACTGAGCAAAGTTCACCACAAGAGAGTGTGGATAATGTATCAAACCCCTGTTAAGCAAGTGCGACTGGAGTGTGGTGAGAGAGACGAATTCTGGCTGAACTAAACTTCAGCTTGGGAAACCTTCAGACCTCCCTCAGACACACACACACACACACACACACAAATCTAGCTGTGTATCTCCGCCCACATCTGCTGAGTGACAGGGAGGCAGACAGACAGACAGTGCCGCCTGGGCCTGTTGGAGCAGGTTGGACTGTCTGCCTGCACAACTACTTAATACATCCCTAAATTACCACAATGCTGCGGTCTGGAGATCCCGGGCCAACGCAATGGCGTGTCTGTGTGTTTGGAAATGTGCGCAAGTGCATTTGATTACCTTTTTTATATGTGTATTTTGTGTATTTGAGAGGGAGCTGTATGTGTGTGTGTGTTTGTTGCAGGATGTTAGAGTTGGGAGGTCTAGTCTGGGAATGTCTGTTTCAATCTGTGAAATCTGGAGCTTGTCCAGTCCTGTCTATGTGTCTGCGAATGTGATCACAGCTTGACAAATTATCTTGTGATAGTTACACTGGTACACCGTGTAGGCCTGCGTGTGTGTGAGCGTTGTGGTGTGTGTTAGCGGGAATGTTCGGAAGTGTTTCAGGCAATTTAATGCCAACATTTAACTTATTCACAAGACTGATATGCTGTATATAAAATACATTGTGAATATTGTTAAGTTTCTGAACTCTGATTGGATGAGATGCATTAATGTAAAATCCATGTAAAATAACTTAGACAGGACCAAGTTTTTTTTTTTTTGATTCAGTCAGGCTAGTAGTTCATTTTTACTAACCGCATTTTCACTTTTTTTATTTTAATTTAAAATTTTATATTGATATATTTTTATATATTTATATATATTATATTTATTTTTATTTTTACTATATTTTAGTGGTGGCGGTTGCTGTTAAGTAAAACTGTTAAAAATTAAAAATGTTTTTTGTTAATTAAAGTAAAGCTGAAATAAAACTAACATTTAAATATCTAAAATATAAATATATCAATGCTATATATATTTTATATTATACACACACACACACACATATAGAATTTTAGTTCTGTTCACACTGAGTTTCAATATTTATGGGATCGCAATAGGGTTGAGCGATGTCTACCAAATTGGCATCGGACAATGTCTACAGTGAAACATTGTGATGGATGATGACAACGGGGAGGGGGTTAGGGGTGTGCCCGAAGCGTGAAACAAATAACACATTCTACAGAGCCACTAAAAGGTTAGCCGCTTGCTAGCGGTAGCCTGTTGCATTACAGTACATGAAAGTTTGCTTACCACATACACAGAGTAAGGAGAAATGTCTGATAGGACGATGGCGAATGATTTGTAGATCCTGAGCACCAATGACAAACATCTAATCTTGTCAAATGTGTGGTAAGTACTGCCGC